GCTAAAATGACCAAAGAAAAAGTGGAAAACAGCTAAACATGAGAGGTTTTTGGACAAAGTTTGTTTTTTTTCCATTGTTTAAGCACTGCTTCCAGCCAAAAGTGATACCATATATGCCCTATAGCTGCAGAAAAGTCTAACGTTATTATCTTTTTACAAAAAAACAACTGAACATGAGAGGTTGTTGGACAAAGTTTGTGTTCTCCATTATTTAAGCACCGGTTCAAGCACCGACACCGTTTCAAAAGTACCGGTCGGTTTGGTACTGGTATCGGATAAAACCTAAACGATACCTATCCCTACCCACTAGGGGACTCCCCTAACTACAATAATAGTAGGGCAACACCCCCTCCCCCCAGTGGTGCTATAATACAATAAGGGTTGTCACAGCATGCATTAATATATGTGGGGAATCAGGTTTTTTTTTCTATACATCTATGTTACAAATGCTTTTTTTTCAGTCTGTGCACATTTGTTTCAGATCATTTCTGTTTCCCTTTTTTCATATTTCACTTTGATTCTTTAATTTTCGTAGGTTTTAGTGTAGTTTATTAAGAGATATTGAACTAATTGATAAAGAATTCAAGCATGTGGCAACAAAGTCTTTGTATCCCTGTATTCTACCACTATACCATGAACTTCCATTTAGGAAAAGTAAATTAAATGAACGAAAGTTAAAGTCTGTGTCTACTTCTTTTCATATAAATGAGCTTTGCCTCAAATAAAATTTGCCTCTCTGTTATACTATTTCCCAGTAATGTTTTAGAAGCAGTTAACTGTACTATTTGATCGACTTTCACGCATTTAAATGAGCTATTCTGACATTCTTGGCTCTTACTTTTTAAAAAGTAGCTAAGTGAACTACATATAAATGTTATTTAGCCTTCAGTACAGTTAGCGTGCTTCCACTGCAGCGAGAGGTGATTGGCTTCTACAGTTCTTGGTAGTGGAGGAGCACATGACTGGCTAAATCTTGGTTGAATTTGGTACACAAAACTATTGGCTCTCACATGGTGGATTTGCTTGACCAACCGGTGGCAGGTGAATAGAAATGCTTAAAAGCCTTCAGTACAAATATTGGAAAAGGACAAACACAATCTTTAAATATTAAACATGCTTTACTCTTCCTGTGCACTGGCATTACAGTCAGCTAATTTCAGTTCATATGTGGGAGGAGCAAAATCATGGAAGAGCCCACAGGGGCAATAGATATTTTTACCTCACAAAAATGGCAAGAGTGCAATAGTAAAGTGTAAACTGTATCTAGGACCGAAAAAACACATACTGCTGAAAGTGTGATCTTAAAGCTGCGTTCATA